AGTATCTATCACCTTTGTTAAATATGCCTACTCTATAGCTCTTTACAATATTTTTAAATATAATAAAGTATATGCGAAGACATAAGTGTGGTAGTAATTGATCTAGAGACTAATGTGATTTTGGGCTTTCTCTCTTTGATGTTAGGGGCCGGGATGCATTCGAATAAAAGAAACTTTTAGCAAGCAATCCCATAAACAAACTCCATCCCAAAATGTTGTTAACCTAATGCATGTGTATTTATAATCAATGTATTAGAATTGCATATCAAATATAATACACTGTAATATTTGGGAGCATTATATGTTGTCATTTTGCTAATATAAGGGAAAATGGAATACCAACCAATGGCTCAAATAAAGTAAAAGAGTTTAGTATAATATATTTTTTAATCTTTTCTTATGCATTGTATGGTCTTCTAGACGTACCGCCGCACTGAACGTCGAGATTCATCCTGGCCTCCACATTATGATTGTCGTTTTCATCTTTCCATCATGCGATACAGAAAGATTAATTGTTCTGGTCGTCGTGGTCAAAGTATTGATGTCGCATCGTGAGTTTGCTTGGGTATGCACCATAAACGTGGCGGCGTATATAATGTCGCATAGCTCATCGAGCGTTGCCCGACCTAAGTCAAGGTATTAACCTGTTGCAGTTTCGGTTTGAAGTTGTAGCCTGATAGCACGTCATATTATCATGATGTATTTTTCAGAGATTCTGTGGAATCCCGAGGTGCGTAGGGATAGACGAAGAAAAAGGTACCAGACAACAAACAAGTTCTATGTAATTAGTTTTGGTGTAATTCGGAGTTGATTCAGATCAAACTTTTCTGATATAAAATCTAATAGGTTGTGACAAATGTACATAATTCAACTTATATTAAATAAATGTTGAGATGAAATGGTGTTTTTGTGTGTGCAAAAAATTATGGATATTTCTCGTTTTCATATGACCATTGGTTCAGAGCATTCTAATCCACGATTTGCAAATTCATAGTTTATTTGGAGACATCATAATATATGATCTACAGAATTATGACATTGTGTAGACCGATCTAGCAAAGCACAATAATCATACTAGTTAGGTCTTAGGGGGAAATCCCCCGCAAAAAAGATCTTTCTGGGTAGTGATTTGTTTTGTGGCTCAGATGAGAAAAATGAGAAGGGGTGAGGAAGGAGGAGGAATGAGAAAGAGGAAGGGGCGAGGAGCTTCGTGCAGACGATCAGTGACTGTGAGATGGGAAAGAGGAAGGAGCGAATGAGAAATAATTGAATTGGGCACCGGGGTTGGACTAACAACTAGTGAATTGAAGGCTCGGATAATTATCAAGAACCAGATAGTTGCCAATGCATTTCAATGCGAGTATAAGATAGTTGAAGATGAAAAGATCAGATAGTTAGCTAGTTCGTAATCTGATCATCAATGAGTCGAAGTTTCACTCCCGGCTCCCCCCCCCCCTCCCAATATGCATTTATCAAAGAGTAAAATGCATCATAAGTCATATGACTATTAGAATTGTGTTATTTTAGTCATATCACTAATAAAATGCAGATTTGGATCCCAAAACAATTTTAAGTCATTCATTGCATGTCCTAAGCTCGCTTGAGCAATGTTGGCTCGCCAATGTGTCGCCTGGACCGGTGCCACATTAAAAGTAAAAATATTTCATGATGAATCTAATAGTATTGATTTGAAATGTTGATAATTTTTCTCTTTAAATTTGGTCAAATTTGATAGAGTTTGACTTTTTTAAAATTTCTATTGAGATGAGTTAGTCTTTCTTAGAGTTTCATTCTACATGGTTAGACTGTAAGTGTGTAATTCTAACCAAGGCCGAAGACGGGGGAGTGATAAGCTCATTTTCCGGGTAGCATCGATGCGGGGGCTGTCAATCTATGCTGATGACGTTGCTTTATTCGTGCGGCCTTCGAGCAAGGATCTGAGCTTTGTCAGGGAGGTGTTGCAACCTTTCGGTGAGGTCTATGGGCTCTAAGTTAACTACACTAAGTCCTCTCAATTCTAATCAGAGGGGACTTCAAGGATCAACTTAGGGTGACAAACATTTTACAATGCAAGATTATGGGTGAATTCCCTTGCAAATATCTCAGGTTGCAGCTTGCCGTCAGCCAGCTCACCAAAGTAGAGTGACAACCGATTCTAGACCAAGCAAAGGAATTTGTTCCAGCTTGGTAGTGAGGGCTGACTCAGCAACCAAAAGACTTGTTTTGGTCAAATCGGTAATCACAGCTAAACGTATCCACTGCCTGATGATCTCAGATGCACTTGTTTGGTTTTTTCAGGAGCTAGATACCTGGATGTGGAAAAGCGAATGGCGAGCAGTGCCTTGTGGCTTCGAGTACCATCTACAACCCAACTTGTTTTGGTGGCCTCGGCGTTAAGAATCATTTTCTCCAAGACTAGGCGCTCTGGGTACGCTGGGAATGGTTAGGACGAGCTGATCGGGAGAGGCCGTGGCAAGGAATTCCCATGACTAACGGCAAAGAGGCTCGAATGGTTTTTGACAGCTTGCTCAAAATTAAGGTTGGCAACAGCAATCACGTATTCTTTCGGCGAGACTGTTGGATCTATGGCTTTGCACCAAGAACTGTGTTCCAGGCGATGGAGAATATGAGATGGATGCCCGATATATTGGGTGAGCTGTCTTTCACGACACACAAGCAATTCCTGCATCTTTGACAAGCCATTGCTTCAGTATCGCCGGACACTCAGGAGCAGGACAATTTTGCTTGCCTGGTGCGACGACCACGAGTACACAACTAGATCGACTTATCATCAGCTATGTTAGGGAATGGCCAGAGTTCTTTTCGTGTCATCCATATGGAGGAGTTGGGCGCCTCTGAAGTGTAAAATCTCCGCGTGGCTGCGGCCCAACATCAACTTTAGACTTCTGCCCTCCATGCTTACCACGGCTTACAAGATCAGCGGTCAGCCTATTACACTTGCCTGCATGAGGAGGACAACATCGAACATATATCGATGCAATGTGTATACACTTGGGAGGTCCAAAACAATTGTTTGCATGAGCTTCGCCTAAATGTGCAATGTCCCGCGACACATGACATGTTCATCACTTGGTGGTTGCATGACAGGGCTCAACTTTAGCAAGGCGGAGAAGCTTGCCTTTGATTCTTTTATCATCAATACAGCCTAGTCACTATGAAAGCAGAGAAATGCGTGCGTCCTTCATAGGGGACACTAAATCAAAACATCGGTGCTAAAAAAACAGATCCTAAGAGAGATTACGGGATGGAAAGATGTCGGTGTTAGAGTTGGAGGCCTGCAACGATTTGTGAGAGAGTAGGCTAGGGTTTGGATGGAGTGGTGTGGATTCTTGCCTGATGTTTGCTTTCGATGTAAGCCTCTTGTCATAAATTTAGCTTTTTTCTATAAATCATGATACACAATTGGCGTACTTTTCTATACCTCTATATAGCTATACCTAGTATTAAAGATTCTATTGCTTCTAGCGGTACGTCATTAAAATTGTCCCCAAAATTTGCAAAATAATACCCACCAATGCTATCTATAAGTTAGAAAAAATGTTTTGCAGGGAATCCCCCGCCTGGGCAGGCCCAAACATAGGGGCCTACTATACTACGCTCTGACCGCTGTAGAAAACACAATACGCCAGTTTGGGCCGGCCCATGTACGGGCGCCCATTTTTTCAGTTTCATTTTTATTTTTATTTTTCTGCTCCGTTTTTGTTTTTTCTACTTTAAATAATTTGGAACTTCAAAAACATTTTAAATTAAAACAGCTGAGAATTTTGAAATGAAATGTTCAAGAAAACATAAAATGTTTGCGAATTAAAAAATGCGCGGTATTTCTAAAAATGTTTTCTATTCAAAAAAATGTTCGGAAAATCAAAAAAAGTCCATGATTTCGAAAAAAAGTCCGTGTATTAAAAGTTATTAATGAAATTGAACAAAATGTTTGCCAATTCAAAAAAAATCATACATTTTTAAAAACTGTCCTAAAATTTTAAAAACAGTTCATAAATTACAGAAGACTTTATTGATTCATAAAATGTTTGCTGATTCAGAGAATGTTCGTGCATTTCAAAAATGTTTGTGAAGCTCATCTATTCTAGAATTGTTCACTGATTTAAAAGAAAATGCTTGAAAAACGTTCCAATATAAAAATATTCACAATTTTAAAAAGTGTTTGTAAATAGTAAAAAATGTTCACAACTTTTAAAAATGTTCCAAACTTGTAAAAATGTTCACGAATGATCGAAAGTATGTATTTAAACAGTAATGCTTCTGAGTCTTTGTGACTATATACCCTCGTGAAATTTCGAAGAATTAACTGCCGGGGTGGATCGGAATATTATAGTATATTTTATAAAAAAAAATTCTTGAAATAAAGAATGTTTCTCTGAATTACCAAGTTTTTTGACAACCACGATATTTTTTCAAAAATGTGAACAATGCTTCAATTTGTTAATAAATTTTAAAAAAGAAACATTTTTCTTGCATTTGTGAACAAAGTTTCAAAATCATGCGACGAGATGTGAACGAAATGTGGTCATCGCCATTGTAGATTATGATTTATTTTTTCTCATGTTGCAACGCACCGGGCCCTTTTGCTAGTTAGGAAAAAAAAAGTGCAATACATCCAACCATGTCGGCCGTCGCCAACAAAATTTCGTGGCCGACTCGTGCAAGAGACAGGGACAGTTGCCAACATTCAGCCGTTGGCATCCATCCGTTCATCCATATCCATCCATCCAAGCAAAAGCCCCTAATTTTTGCATGTTATTTTCCGGCGCATCTCCATCGGGTGGAGCCGGCGACGGCGACGGCGGCGGAGTCGCCTCAAAACAAAAAGCTCTGCCGGCCATCGTCGCCGATCATCCTGCCGCCTACGTTAACAAGCAAAAGAAATGGCGGACGCCGGATTCTCAGGAGCAAAGAAGAAGCCAGCTACATTAACAACATTCAGAAACTACTCGTACATCATCATCGATCTTTACAACGCATCACTCGGGGTGCGACCGCAGCGGCGCCGCCGGCAGCCGCCGCACGGCCATGGGCTCGGGCCGCCGCTGCTGCCGCCCCGCGCTGCTCCCGCTGCCACCGCCACCGCGTATCCTAACGAACCCCCCGGACGCCTTCCCCTGCCCGGCGCCACCGGCCGCGGCCGCCTCCTTGGCGTCCTGCAGCTGCTCGAGCGCGGTCACCACCTCCGCCATGCCGGGGCGGGCCCGGGCGTCACCGGAGAGGCACCGCATGGCGAGCGCCGCCGTCTTCTGCGCGCCGGAGAGCGAGTACTGGCCGCCCAGCCGCGCGTCGAGGATGTGGAACACCCGGCGCTTGCTGGTGAGGTACGGCCGCGCCCACTCCACCAGGTTGTGCTCCCCCGACGGCCGGTTCTTGTCCAGCGCCCGCCGTCCCGACAGCATCTCCAGCAGCACCACCCCGAAGCTGTACACGTCGCTCTTCGCCGTCAGATGCCCTGCACCACCATCACCATCACCATTAACCCCTCTGAATGATTCATCCATTAACAATTCATTCCTACTACATTTTTAACTTTCATTCATCCATTCATGCAAGCAAAGCATCAATCATTTAACCCTCCTAGATACTCCATCCAAGATAATAATCCTACTGGATATTCGATCCAAGATAATCATACTCAGCAAAGGGTTAATTTAATCCCACTGGACACTCCATCCAAGATCCCATGGGCATCAAAGTCACAACCCTTTCACTGGTCATGTGCAGATGCTGCAGAGGGAACAGACAATGATCCGGCTTAGCCGGATTAGATACAAGTTTTTTAGGGTGGATTAGACATAGGTTAGCACAACTTGGACTAGTGTACTGTGTTGGTATCAGTACAACACAGCTCATGCCTACCTAGGAGCCACTAAACTAGATGAACAAGTACAGTGGTACTACTGGCCATTGACCTGCTGGTACACAAAGTACAGAGCACATGCTGTTGATCTAGCTGCAAGATTGATATATATGCTATTAGATCACCTGCCATCCAATCAAATTATTTTCAAAAAGTGTGCATTATCTATGTGGATGGTGGTGGTGACAGCTGATTAATCAATCTGGTTTTGGTTTTAGCACACATGTGGTGAATGGGTGCAGTTGCAATAGTTAGGTCTGAAACCATGACCAAATTGGGCCAGTTGTGCTGCTACCTAACTGATGAAGATTGGACCAGGAATTCTAAGGCTGGTGTGTTCTTCACTGCTTCTCCTGGTGCCCCAGGACACACACAAGCTGCCAAACGGATTAGGCTGACTTTTTATTTGGATTCTCTTGTAATCCAACCGTACCTACCGCATAACAACAATGGCATTATTCAACCCTTTTTGTTCTTGATAAGAACTGTCAAGAAAAGTAGTATCCTGCTAAAAGTTCAGAGCATTTCTAGCAGTATCTGTCCCATGCTAAATATATGTATGTACATGAAAAGTTCAAGCTTTTTATAACAAACCCAAATTAGAAGCGTTTCAGCAACACCAAAGGGTACAAAGTACTTATAATAATGTGCTGCATCAGATTAAGCTATGTGTTGATGTAATTAATTGAGTTGGTTTACCTGTTGCGAGATACTCGGGCGCGGCGTAGCCATGAGTGCCCATGACCCTTGTGGAGACATGGCTCTTGTCGCCTGTCGGCCCGTCCTTCGCAAGCCCGAAATCGGAAAGCTTCGCGTTGTAGCTCTGCAGATTCCATCCATGGTTCGATATATTCAGCATTTGAGAAGTAAGTTTGTGAAGAGTTTATTTACTCAGTTCAAATCAGAAGGAAAAGTAAAGAACATACCGAGTCAAGGAGAACGTTGGACGTCTTGAAGTCGCGGTAGATGACCTTGGCCATGTCGCTGTGGAGGAAGGCGAGCCCCCTAGCCGCCCCGAGCGCGACCTTCATCCTCAGGTTCCATGACAGTGGCTGGAAATGCGAGCCCCCTGCACATCCATCATTCACCCAAACTTGTTACCACCAACATCTTCAACAAGTAACTAAGTGTTGTTAACTGATCAAGAAAAGGCAAGAGGAAGGTTCAGTGGTAATTACTTCTGAAAAGATGGTTCTCGAGGCTCCCTCGCGGCATGAACTCGTAGACGAGGAGGCGCTGCTCGTCCTCGAGGCAGTACCCGACGAGCCTGACAAGATTCGGGTGCGACAACTGGCCCAGGTAGTTCACTTCAGCCTGCACATCACATTCAGTAACATATATTCAGTAATAACAATGGGGATTCAGAAATTTGAGCAACAGACTGGCTCTGAAATCTGAATGCATGCAGAGATTCAGAAAGTTCAGAACGTATTCAGTAGTTAGCAGAGTAGTTCAGAGGAGGTGAGGTGAAGACTGACCAGCCACTCCCGGTGGCCCTGGAAGCCCTCCTGGTTGAGCTTCTTGACGGCGATGACCATGCCGGTGCCGGGGCGGGCGGGCGCGAAGGTGGTCTCGTCGACCCAGCCCTTGAAGACGGACCCGAAGCCGCCCTCTCCCAGCACGCTGTCCGGCCGGAAGTTCCGGGTGGCCGTCTTGAGCTCGTTGAAGGCGAAGCTCTTGACGTTGGCCGACTGCAGGATCTCGCCCTCGCTCCGCGGCGTCGGCGGCACCGTCGTTGGCGGCGAGGACGACACCCGGCTGCTCGACACGCTCGCGCCCCCTTTCCCCTTCCTCCTCCACGCCCACCCTGATGAAACGAAATGGTTGGCCACGGTTAGGACGAGATCAGAGCCAAGAAATCGAAGCAAAATCTGAATTTTGCTCTTGGATTGAGACCGGAAACGGGAGGAAAAGGTGCTTTCCAGGCAGGTGAGACAAGAAGATTAGTCCAAATTAATTAGGCGAGGAAATGGCGCTCGCGGTGCACGCCGGAGCACGGCAAGGAGGAGGAGGAGGAGGGGAGGCTCACCTGAGGAGGAGGAAGGGGAGGCGGAGCCGCCGGCGCTCTTGTAGGGGCTGTCGGAGCCGATCCTGCTCCCGAAGCAGTTGCCCATGGCCGCCGGCGAGCAGAGTCAGGGCAGACCGATCGATGGATGGATTCTGAGGCAGGTGGAGAGCTCTTCTCGGAGGCGAGGAAGAAGAGCAGTCTTTCTCCTCACCCCGGCCGGCGAGCTGGCCTGCTATATACTACTCCTCCTCTCTGACTTTCCTATGTGTCCCCGTCGACCTCGATCGATCACGGGAAGGAGAGGAAGGGGAGGCCGACCTCGCTCGCGCCCGTGCTATGCTGGTTGGCCACTTGCCCCAGTAGGAGAGGGGCGCATTAATGGCGGGCGGGGAGGCGGGGAGGGAGGAGGCGATGGAGAAGAAGATGCGCGTGCTCTTCTCGGGAGCTTTTGCTCCCACCGTGGTTTTATACCGGACGCCTCCGGCACGAACCTTCCGCCCGGTGACATGTGGGCCCGGGACGCGCGGTGGGGCCGGGGCGTCAGTCGAGGTGGCGTGGCGGGTCGGGGATCGGCGCCGGCCGTCGGATGCCGATTGGACGGCCGAGATTGTTTCAGCTTTTCTTGTGGCAGTTGGTGATAAATTGTTGTGGTCAATTTGCGCGGGACGGCTTGCCGCCGGGGGAACGCTTTATGTTTTTCACTACTACTAGTAGTAGCGTTGGACTCTGCTAGTGTGTGCGCATGCGTCGGCCGTTCTCTTCGACCGGCTCGTGCTCCTCTTTTTTTTAGCATCAGTACAGACATAAGCGCTCATATACACGCGCATACACTACCGGCTCGTGCTCCTCTTTGCGACGCCGTAACGAACGTTCGACGACATCTGAATATATATATATATCATATGTCATATGTCTGCATTCTATTTATGCGGCGACATGTTGGTCTCTTGGATGCTAAGTCAAAAAAAAATCGAGCTCCGCCACTGCGAGCACAAGCTCGAATTTGCTGCGCCTGGAGGCCGAGTGGTTACAAGGAGGGCCGATGATAAACCACCAACAGTTTGCTTGGATTTTTCAAGGAGGGAGAAGAATGTCGAGGAGCCCCAAAGGGCGAAACGGTAGATACCCAAATAAACACACTAGCACACTTTGCCGCCACCGCCGCCACAGGCAGACCGGGCAATTCCTAA